TGTCGAAAAAACAGACAACCCACCCCTTCCATGGCTAGCATGAAACAATCTGATAAGAAATGTTTGCTGATCATCTTCCTGGCCACTTCATACTTCATGAGCGAGCCAGCGAAGTATGCGTGGTCTACCTTGTGAATGAGGCAGTTGTGGAGGGCCGTCTTTGCTATGCTAGCTACTTGAACGTTTAGGATTCCGGCTGCCAAATCCTCTTTCGAATATGTGCCTGCGTGGTTGAAGATTGCAAAAATTTTCTGTTTGTCTGTCTCTCTCTGTGTGTGTGTGTCTGTATCTGTGTGTTGTGTGTGTGTCTGTGTGTGGTGTGTACGTGTGTGGTGTTTTTTTTATAATCTCATGAAAAACCTAATAGAAAGCAAATCCGGCGAACCTTTTCCTTTAACGTTGACGGATGACAACTTCCCCAGTTCGAAGGCGGGATATTCCTCTGGGAACCAGGAGTACCAATCATCTTCCGTGTGCTTCTCATTCTTGAGATCTCCAACCAGTGTTGTTACTTTGTTCAAGTCCCCTCTGGATGCCATCTCCATGAACTTTTCAAAATCCTGACATTTTTTCACGCAGACTAATTATGCCAACTTTTTAACAATTTTTTTCAGTATTAAACGTGATCAAATACAGATCAGAAGCTCCTGCCACTTCTATTGTTAGAGAATGTTACGAAAAATAAACTCAACAATAAAAAAAACGATAATAAATATTAATATTAATATTAATTTTCCACTATATTAATATTAATTACCCACTTTTTCACCACAGAGCTCTTCGGATAGGCCGGTCAAAGTTTTGCCAGCTACCGATGTGAAGTCCACACCTTTCAGTTTATAATCCTTGCTTACCTGTTCCAGAGAAAGTAATAGAATTTGTGTACATTTGTTCAAAAATGAGGAAAGTGGTTGGAAAATTTACCAACCGACCCAACAAACAATCAACCAAACAACCAACCAAACCAACCCAACAACCAACCAACCATCAAACAACCAACCATCAAACAACCAACCAACAAACCAGCCAACCCAACAACCAACCAACCAACAAAGTGACAGCAGCAGATCCAAACAACGTCAAAATTGACGGAACAACCAACTCATTAGTCAAACTTCCCAAATATTTCTCGGCCCATTTTGCATCATCAGACGATATCATCAACTCAAAAATTGCCCCTTCCATTTCAGGCGGTCCTGATTGAGAAATCACCAATTTCTCCAGATCCTCGCTAACTCCATTTCCATCCAATATTCTGCTGACATCATAATTTTCCAGGGTCGTATCTCCTAACTCCACGAATTTACTGACAGCCTGTGCGATTGCACGAACTCTTTTCGCCGCGAAAAGATGAGACTCCATGTTCATGCCGTAGAAGCCGAGTTGGAGCTCCGGCATCAGTTTCAAACTGTTTTGCAGAGCCATCATTTCAGAGCAAAGACTCGTTCTTTGGATATTATTATTTTAATTTTTAAAAAATATAAACCAAAATAAAATTTATTAAAGTATGTTTTGAAATAAAAGTGTTAAAAAATTATAAGAAAATTTGTCGCCCCTACAAACTTTATTTCAAATTCTTCTTCAAGTTTCGCTTTAAAATGCTGTGCTGTAACACCAGTCATATGCCACGTGGCCTGTTCGTATCCACTTCCTTTTCCGGTCGAAATGACGTCACAGTGGTCTTTCAAAAAATCGATGATTTGAAATATGTCGGACATTTTGAAATATCTGAGACGTAGTAAGCCATGTTCTGAAGGCTGGTGATGACGAAGACGATGATGATGATGGTGGTGGTGATAACGATAACGATGATGATGACGACGATGATGATGACGACAGCATGGCACTTATGATGATGATCACAACCGTAACCAAAAAAAACTGAAAACATACCTTGATTAGCTGGCCTGCTTTGTAATCCTTCTTCGACCTGTAGACGACTTTCGTAACGGAACCACCTTTCATTATGTTATTTATTTATTATATTATAATATTATTAAATTATAATATAATATTTTTTATTACAATTCAAATATTATATATAATATAATAATTAATAAATAAATAATTAAATCTTTCATTTAGGCCGTCCATCCATCAATTCGTCATTCAATTATTTCCAATTAATAATTACGAATCTGCGATCAGCTTATTATTTTTAAATTTCGCAATCCCATTGTTAATATTACATAATAATAATTATTATAATTATTATGACGTCATATTTATTTATTCAAAATATTCCCTCCAGTAGGACGAACAAAATAACGTACCGGCATCGACCACAAAACCGAGTGGAAACTTCATGAAGTCGTGCGAAACTTTCAACACTATCTCCCCATCATCTTCGTAGAATGGTGACGCTACTGTGGCTGCCGCTGGGGTGGCCACTGTCGTGGCTGCTGTTGTTGTGGCAGATGTTGATGGTGACGCCATTTCTGTAAAGAATAATTTGTCGTATAATCATCACATCCATCATCATACATTAGAAATAATCATTCTTACTTTCTCTCTCACCCTCTCTCTCTCTCTCTCTCTCTCTCTCTCTCTCTCTCTCTCTCTCTCTCTCTCTCTCGACTCGACAAAACACACAAACTCACACACACAGAGTTACAAATTGAAAAAATGTACCATTACCTGTATTTTATTTAAATTTATTTCAAAATAAATCAATTTATTAACAAATAACAAAGGGAAATTGCAAGTGAGTTTACACCTTGAGAGTTAACATTGAAAAACTATTCACAAATAAAATACACAAAAGGCCGTATTTGTATTTATATTCATACATGTAATACAATGTAACTATGTGAGAACTATGTATAGAGTTAGTCCTTTGATATATAGCCAAACCTGTTATTCATATGAATGTATATATGTGGAGTGTGTATGTGTGTGCGCGCGCGTGTGTGTACGTGTGTTAACTTGGTTATGTATTGTTATTGTAAAGTAAACGCTTGATTGTTCTCCTTTCAAGATTTAAGAACGTTAACACAATAAATTACAACAATAACACCACCACTAACATTAACAATGACACTAATAACCATAACAACAACAGTAATAACAACAACAACAGTAATAACAACAATAACAATAAGAACCATGACATCAACGCTGATAACCATAATGACATCAAAAATATTAAGGTCTTAACACTTAGATGCAGGGGCAAGTTAGTCGCTCATGTATTTTACATGTTGGAAGTAATATGCCCGATACACAGATGAGTTTTATGACGGAAATTGAAGACGACGATGATGATTATAATGACGGACACAACACAGATTCTCGTTCAAATTAACTTTTAAACTGCCAACCGATACATCTGTTTCGCCATTCTGTTTTCTTCTGCTTCAGTTGGACTTTGCTTTTTTTTTAAATGAAGACTTTTTAAGTTTAAAAATTTTGGCGAGAACAGATCTTAGCGCCAGCGTGAAAATAAACATATGACGCATTGATGACGTCATATATACAAACACGCACATACATACATACACACACACACATATATACATACATACATACATACACACACATACATACAAACATACATACATACACACACATATACACATACATAACCGCGTTTTTTGTTTCTGTCTGAACAAAAAACAAATTATGAAAATGTGTTTTGGATTATCATGTTGAATAATAAGCATTCATTCAAATTTCCTTAAGATGTTGAGAAATTTAAAACTTCAAAGCACGCACACACACACACACACACACACCATACACACACACACACATATATACGCACACACTTAACACATAGACATACACACACATACACACAAATGTTTATATTTAACAAAACTGAATATCTATAATTAACTTTACTACTCGTAAGAATGTACTTCAACTTTGACTACTTTCGAAATTTTGAAAACCCCTCTAAAAGATTATGATGATGATGATGATAATGATTATGATCATCATAATCATCATCATCATCATTATTATCATCTTCATCACTAGCAACATCATCATCATCAACAACCATAAAATCATCATCACCATCAGCAACGTCATCGTCACTATTTATCTCATCATTGTCAGCATCATCATCGTCATTACCCTCATCGTAATCACAATCATCAACTATGACGTCATCATCATTATCGCCATCATCATCATCATCGTCGTCATTATCATCATCATCCCGGCGTTGCTTTGTTCGTAACTATGTTGATGAAAACGAAATTATGTCGATAGATGTTTTGCACGAAAAATTATTATTATTTTATCGTTATTATTATTATAGTTATTATTATTATAGTTATTATTATTATAGTTATTATTATTATAGTTATTATTATTATAGTTATTATTATTATAGTTATTATTATTATAGTTATTATTATTATAGTTATTATTATTATAGTTATTATTATTATAGTTATTATTATTATAGTTATTATTATTATAGTTATTATTATTATAGTTATTATTATTATAGTTATTATTATTATAGTTATTATTATTATAGTTATTATTATTATTTTTGTTGTTGTTATTATTCTTTGCATGTTTTCTGGCAGGCGAACAAGGTCAACAATTACAATAACGACGCGTGTAAATTGCTTTTTTTAAAGTCGGTGATGGCAATAATAATAATAAAAATAATAATAATAGGAATAATAATCGAAATGAAACACGTTCTTAAAGTTAAGTAAAGGTTATACATAAGCGAAATGTGAATTGAAAAAATATAAATGAAATGTAGATTGCCATTGATGTAACAACACTCGTGAGCTCCTTGCTTGACAAAGTACACGCCGAGATGAATGCTATTTGACGGGCGAACAACAACAAAAACAACAACAACAATAGTAAAAATAGTAGTAATGGTATGATGGTTTCAATTATGTTGTTGTTGGCGATGGTGATGTTATATGGGATTGAAAAACACGTTAGCAACAGTTTTTAAATTTCTCTTTCTTAAAAAAAATCCCCCTAATAAACTCAAAAATTGATCCATTTTTCGCAAATATGACTGTAACAATAACAGAAAAAATCCTAATAATAATTAATAATAATAATAATTATTAAGAATAAATTCATTTATTTTCTTCGAGGTTTTTGGTTAATTGAACGTTTGCAGCCCAAACACCGAGAGCCACTAAAAAACCAGGCTGTCGCACGAAAACTGGCTTCACCACTTTCCCCTTCAAACAAAGAAATTGAACAAAGTTATACATTTACTGGAAGAAGTTATACATTTACTGGAAGAAGTTATACATTTACTGGAAGAAGTTATACATTTACTGGAAGAAGTTATACATTTACTGGAAGAAGTTATACATTTACTGGAAGAAGTTATACATTTACTGGAAGAAGTTATACATTTACTGGAAGAAGTTATACATTTTTTTTTTTCTGCAAAATTATATTCAAACTGATATCCCAAATCAATAGAATAATAACCCTAACCCTAACCAACCCTAATTAAACATAAAAATATGACCCTGGATACCGTTTCGAGAGCCAGCCAGAACACATCGGCAAGAAAATTTGTAGTGATCATCTTCCTGGCTACTTCGTACCTCATGAGCGAGCCGCAGAAGTAGGCGTGGCTGGTTTTCTGGATCAGGCAGTTTTGCAGAGCCACTTTACTGATGAATGAGGCCAGCAGATTCAGAATGCCCGCTGCTAAATCTTCTTTTGAGTAGCTACCTATAGGGTTGAATTGATGAAAAAATTATTCTTAAATTAAAAAATTTGGTCTTTAGTAGATACAAAACGGCGCAGCTAAAAAATATAATTTCTGAAGAGGATAACTTGATGACGACAGGAAAAAAACCAAATTCCCATCATTCAAACTCACTCTAGGTCTGTTAATTTTTTATTTTCTTCTCAAATATACACAAAATCGCAGTTAAAAATTTATGTTTTTGCCATGCATTAACACAAAACGCAATTAAAAATCATAGAATTCTACTCAAATTCACACAAAAGGCAATTAAAATTCATAGAATTCTACTCAAATTCACAAAAAATTACAAAAATAATAACAAAAAACACTAAAAAGGTGTTTTCCAACTACAAACCTTTCCCCTTTGCGTTGGAAGATGTGAGTTTTCCGAGCTGAAATGCTGGATAGTCATCTGGAAGGATGCTGTAAGTGTCTTGCTCCACATGTTCGTAGTTCCGTAAGTCGGATATCATAGTTGTTACCTTAGTCAGATCTCCTTTCGCAGCCATGTCCATGAAGTTTTCAAAGTCCTTGGTGTTTTTTTATATATGCCGTCGTTCATTCATTCATTTATTCATTCAATCACCACCTTTCATTCATTCATCAGTCAATCACCTGCTCTTTTAAAACTTCTTCCATCAGGCCAAACAATGTTTTGCCGGCAGCTGAAGAGTAATCCACAATTTTGATCTCGTACCTTTCATTCACCTGTTCAATTCGGGATTCAATATTTTATATTTGGTCAAACGCACGCACACACACATATATACACACGCACACACACACACACACACGTACACACACACGCACGCAACCAACCAAGAAGGTGACTTGAGCCGATCCGAATAGCATCATAACCGACGGAGTGACAATACTATCCGATGATTGCCTCAAATATTTATCCGCCCATTCCCGATCGTTTGATGACGTCATTAACTCAAACAGCGGACTTCCTGTATTTATATTATTATATGGCGACGAAACGTGGAAACCTTCAAAGCTCTTCTCCATTTTAATCACGTCACCGTCAGCTGTAGCCGTGGCTGTGGTAGCAGCAGTAGTGGCAGCATCAGCTGCAGCAGTAGCAGCAGTAGTAGTAGCGGCAACAGAAGTATCGACAGTAGCTAGAATATTTGATTTTTTAGAATCTTCTTCTCCTAAGGGTGTTGGCAGCTTCAAGAAAGCTCTGGCAGTCGTTCGAATGTGTGTGGCTGCGAAAGTGAAGGCCTCAAGGTCAAGGTCGTAGAAGCCTAACTTGAGGTAAGGAGTCAGTTTTGTCGACTCCTGCACCGCTACCATCTCCGAATATATCTTTGTCCTGTGTATGTGTGCGCGTGTGCGTGCGTGCGTGGGTGGGAATGAAGGAATGGATATGGATAGATGAATATTAGTAATAAATAAATTGAGAATTTTCAAAATTCTAACTTAATCGAAAAACTATTTTCCAGTTTAGCCTTGAAATGTTGGGTAGTAACTCCAGTTATGAACCACGTGTTTACCTCTTCACTTTCTGATTCCTTTCTATTTTCCCCTCCGGTCTTACTTCCACTTCCGGTTTTTGATATGACGTCACAGTTTTGTTTTAGGAAGTCGATAATCTGGTAGACGTCATCCATTTTGAAATATCTTAAGCGTAGAAGGCCGAACTCTGAAGGCTGGTGAAGATGATGACGACGACGACGACGATGATGACAGAAATATTTAAAAATACCCTAACCTTTAAAAGTTTTCCATTGTGATAATCCTTCTTGGACCTGTAAACAATCTTCGACAGAGAACCGCCTATCGTTATATGTCGGAATATAAATATCTTCAAAGTTAACTTTAATCATAATTTTGACATTTTTTAATATTTAATCAAAAAATTTAATAAATTTTCATTTAAATGAATGAAAACTCCCACAATGTACCTGCATCTACAACGAACCCAAGCGGAAAGACCATGAACTCGTGAGGGACCTTTAACACTATTTCCCCACCATCCTCGCAAAATGAAGACGACGATGATGAAGACGACGATGATGAAGATAACGATGACGATGATGATGAAGATAACGATGATGATGATGACGACGATGTAGATTGTGCTAATGATGCCATATCAGGTCGGTGAATACCGCTTCAACTGCACTTAATTAATGTAGGTAAGCCTAATTATGGCTTAGCTTCCTAAATCTTATTAATTCACAAGTTTTTTCGTCAGAATTGAACTATAGTATTCAAACTTAATTGAAAATTCAAACGGAAATTAAATTCTTAGACTCAACCTATATATATATATATTTTTATATATATATAAAATAAGAAGAAAAACAATAATAATAATAAAAGAAGAAGAACAACAACAATAATAATAATAATCACAGTTCTGTTTTGTAACATTTTACTGAGCGATTATTTATTTAAGAAAAATAGTGACATGAATGGACCTGGTCGGTTTAAAGGTTTTGGTTATGGCTAGTAGTAGTAGTAGTAGTAGTATTAGTAGTAGTAGTAGTAGTAGTAGTAGTAGTAGTAGTTGTTGTTGTTGTTGTTGTAGTAGCAGTAGTAGTAGTCATTGTATTATGTTTCATATTTATTGATTACTGTTTGCAAAACATGACATGACATTCATTTTTAAAAAATTTTATTTTCCATTAACATATGAATGAACGAATGAATGAATGATTGAATGAAATAAATAAATGACTGATTGATCGATTGAATGAATGAATAATAAATGAATGAATTTAATTACCAAACTCCTGAAAATCGGCACTTATAAAAATCTTCAAAATTTATTTAAAGTCCTTTTCAGAATTTCTTCATAGATGACGTCATCATCATTATCAACATCATCCTCATTATTATTATTATTATTATTATGTTTTTTTATTTTTTTTATTTTTGTTATTCAGTCCCACGTTCGCAAACCAAAGGCCAAGTGCCTTCAGAAATCCTGACTGACGGACGAATAGAGGCTTTATGAAATACCCCTTTAAACCAAAAAAATTATTCTTATTATTAATTATAGTTATTACTTATTATTATTAATATTATTAATTATAGTTATTATTTATTATTATAATTAATTATTATTGTTTTATATTTATACATTGGCAGTTTCTTTGTCAATGAAGAGGCATTTATTCACTTGAATATTTGAAAAATTCCTCAAATATTTTTTCATGGATAGATTAATGGATAGATAAATGAATGAATGACTGACTGAATGAATGAATGAACAAACAAACGAACGAACGAACGAACGAATGAATGAATGAACAAATGAACGAACAATTAATGAATAAACAAACAACATATCAAAAGTTCTCGCAAAAAATGATCACAGACCTTTTCCAAACCAAGCCAAAAGGCCTGTCCGAGAAAATTGGATGTGATCATTTTTCTAACGAGTTCATAGCTGATGAAGTGGCCGGCGAAGTACACGCGGTGCAGCTCGCGGATCTTGCATTGGTTGTAGGCACACTTACTGATCATCATCGTCACAACGTTTAAGATCCCCGCTGCCAGATCCTCCTTCGAATAAATCCCTGCCATTGTATTTGTGCTATTTACGGCTACTAAACAATGATAATTATCATAATTTATGTTATTTATGGCTATCATATCATGGTAATTATCATAATTTATGTTATTTACGGCTATCATATTATGATAATTATCATAATTTATGCTATTTAGGGTTAATATCTCATAATAATTATCATAAATTATGCCGTTAGTGGTTTTGTTTTCAACATTTTGTTATTGAATTGTAATTAGCGCCATTGAAAACGCTTGCGTCACATAAAGCACAGCGCCTCTGGTAGGCTGGGATCTGTTTGCAGTTGAACACGGCCCCAACGACAGCAGAACCAGGCGTCTTAACTATTACACCACATCGAATTAATAAAACACCAACAAAAATAATTGAGTAGGCGTGTTACATTACAAGGAACATGAGAAAGATTTCATTCAGACCTTTCCCTTTAGCATTGGCGGAGGTCAGTTTTCCGAGTTCGAAGACAGGGTACTCATCTGGGAACAAAGTGTACCAGTCATGTTCAGTGTGTTCGTAATTCCTCAGGTCTGAGTTCAAAGTCGTCACGTTGTTCAAGTTGCCTCTGGCTGCCATCTTCATGATCTCATCCATACTCTGCGGATGTATTAGTAGCAATTCAATAGGTGAATAGGACGAAAGAACGAACCGAGCGTAATATTATCAAATTTGTTGCGAAATTTTAAAATTTCCCTCCAAAAATTAGCCATTTTTTTTATTTAAACATATTATTCATGTGTAAAATAAGCAGCCAATGAAAAACCTTCTCGCCGGTAACTTCCTCAACTAAACCGTGAAAGGATTTCCCAGCAGCTGAGCACACATCAACCAGCTTCACTTCATAATCATCGGTCACCTCGTACATACAAACATCAGAAACGTGATTTTAGGTGTTAAAACTAAAAATTATTCAATCGTAATAAATTAATATTATGAATATTAAATAAAATAAAATAATTATTTCATTATATTTTAATTATTTCATCAACATGGCTATATTTCAATTCCTCTTCGACCCTCAACCCACCAAATAGGCAACAGCGGCAGAGCCAAACACCATTAGTATGCAGGGGGTCACCAAATGACCGGAAGATGGTTGTAGGTATTTAGCGGCCCATTCTTTAATATCTGTCGACTTCACGAGTTCAAATATAGGCCCATCAAATTTTTTAACAAATCTATAGTTGTCAGTAAGATCGGCCCCGTCTTTAAAAACACCGGGCCTGTCATGCTCCTCAACAAATTCATAATCCTTCAATGTAGTTTCTCCTAGTGTGGGCAACCTAGCAAAAACATCCAGCATGACCTTGACCCTCGTGGCAGCGACCTCGAAGGCTCCGTACTCGAGGTCATAGTAACCTATGTCCAGTTCGGCCATCAGTTTGGCGATCTTCTCAATGGCCATTATTTCTGGGTAGATTTGTAATCTGTTCGGGTTAAGAAAGTTAAAAAGTTTTTTTTAATGAAAGATGGAGGAATGAATGATTGAATGAACGAACGAACGAATAAACGAATAGATGGTGAAATAAACTAAAAACTTTATTCCACTCACCTTATTCCAAAAAATTTTTCCAACTTAAACTTCAAGCGTTGAGCAGTTAGTCCGGTTATACACCCCACAGGTTCAGTTTCCATTTCCGTTTCCGGTCCGCAAGTAGTGAGGGTGACATCAGAGTTTTGTACCAAAAACTCTGCAACTGTATCCAAATCTTTTACACTGAAGTTTTTTAGTCGGAGTATGCCGTAACCTTGGAGCTGATAAATTATGAAACATTATTAAATTATAAATTATATTTAATAAAAATAATAATTGTTATTATAACTATAATAACTTTTATTATGTTTTTTCCGTCATTGCAATCCTGTTTGGATCTGTAGACAACTTTTATTGAAGATTCTCCTAGATGGAGTAGACATTTCAACTTTGTGTATTTGTTTAAGTTAGTTTGTTTGTTCGTTCACTCGTTTATTCATTCATTCACTCACGTTCATTCATTCATTCATTCACTCATTCACTAATTCATTCACTCATTCAGTCATTCATTTTCGGTACTAACCAACATCAACAGCAAAACCAAGTGGAAAATTCAGATATTTTTCTGAAACTTTCAATAGAATTTCATCATTCTCAGTTTTGTTTGAAGATGACGACGACGATGGTGACGTCATAGCAACCAATGTATTAATGCATATACAATCAAATAATCGCGCTTAAACAAAACCGAAACTTATAATGGATATAACTGTGATACAAAAATGATAGCAAAATGATATAATTGGCGATATAAAATGATACAAAATGTAACAGAAAGGATATAACTGAGGATACAAAGGATACAATGGATGTTGTTGTATTTATTACATAGAAAATTCTGCTAAAATGTTTTCATGAGAATAAAACCAGATCATATAAGACGTTTAGCAGGGCTAAAAGTTGTCATAATTAATTTTCATAATAATAATAATAATAATACTAATAATATAAATAATAATAATAATAAATAACAGTCATCATCATAATTTTCAGCATCGTCGTCGTCGTCATCATCATCATGGTTGAGTACTACTATGTTGAGTGATGGAATCAATTTCTACAAAAGTATAAATGTGTGAAGAAGTGAGTGAATAGATGAAAGAATAAATGACTGAACGAACGAACGAACAAACAAATAAATGAGTAAACAAATGAACGAACCCAAAACGAACAAACGGACGAACGAACGAAAGATTAAATTTTCAATTTTTCTTTTTCTAGGTAAAAAATTGTCTATTTAATAACCAGATTAAGATAATTCAAGCACAACAACAGAAATATTAACAATAATAATAATTAATAATAATAATTATTATAATTATATCCATAATTATATCAATTATTATCACATTCATAATTTCTCTTTAAAACTATGGTATAGTAATAGTAGTAGTAGTAGAAGTAGTAGAAGTAGCAGTGGTAGTTGAAGCAGTATTGATGTTGTGGTCGGAAGTAGTTAGTTCTATTGTTATTATTATTGTTGTTATTATTATTATTATTACTATTATTATTACTATTATTATTATTATTATTCTCCTCTAAATTTCCGAACTTTTGCATGCCTGGGACCAAAGTTTTGATGGCTTTCATTGCGTGTTGAATGGCTTGTGAGTCATTCTCGTAAAAGCCGATTGCCAGTTTCGAGAAATTCTCTAGAGTTCTTTGAAGACCGATCCTTTCACTGATTAAGATAGTCCTGTGGAAAAGAGTAAAAGTAAGAGAGAAAGAGAGAGAGAGGGAAAGAGAGAAAGAAAGAGAGAGAGAGAGAGAGAGAACAAATTGCAGAGAATGAAGAAGAAAGTGTGTGCGTGTGTTCGTTTGTCTGTGTATTACAGAAGGAAGAAGAAATGAAAGAAAGAGTATGTGTGTGCGCGTATCTGTGTGTGCTTGCTAAAGAGAGAGAGAGAGAGAGAGAGAGAGAGAGAGAGAGAGAAAGTTTAGTGAGTGAGAGAGAGAGAAAGAATAAATGAGACTAAATCCTAAAATACTCAAAAATCTTATGAAATTTTACGAAGCCTGCCAAGAAGGTGAAAAACTGAAAAACTAAAGAAATATTGAAATCTAGACTCGCTTTTACGTGCTGCGTCGTCATGCCAGTCATGTACCACCTAATCTCCCCCACACTGCTGCTACCTGATTGGCTCTCGGGGGCCGTGACATCACTCGTCTGCTTCATGACGTCACAGTTTTGTTTTAGAAAGTTGTTAATTTTGTCGAGGTCCACCGTGTTGAAGTATCTGAGTCTTAAGAGGCCGTAAGCTGATGGCTGGTCATCGTGATGATGATGTTGTTGTTGTTGTTGTTGATGATGATGTTGTTAATAATGATGATGATGATGATGTTGTTGTTGTTGATGATGATGATAGCATCAATAATAATAATAACGTAATGAGTAAAAGTAAATTTAAATTAAGAAGAAAATAGAATCCACCACGAGTATCTTCCCATCCCTATAATCCCTCTTCGACCTGTACAAAACTTTTGTCACAGAACCGCCTAGGCAAGGCAAGTGATTTGTTTCAATTAATTAAGTATAATACCAATACGCATTTATAATTAATGTTATAATTATTATAAGTAATTGTCCAATGTAATTACTATAAGCAATCGTCGTCTCAAGGGTTAATGTTTCGTCTAAACATTGCTAAACATTCTTAATATTAAAGAATGATTCAGAGGAAAAGAGAGAAAGAGAGAGAGAGAGAGAAAGAGAGAGGTGTTTGAAATGAAAGCGAAATAGAAAGAGAGACCAAAAATAGGGAAAAACCAAAAATTTTAAAATAGTCCAAATCTGAATCAATAACGAAACCGAGAGGATATTCCATGAACTCGTGTGGAATCATTATCATCTCATCATCTTCGTACTCATGATGATGATGATGATGACAGGATGATGATGATGATGATGATGTTGGTGGTGGTGATGATGATGATGTTGATGATGGTGTTGTTGTCATTTTTTCTCTACATTCTTTTATTCGCTACAATCTGGTTTTAATAAAAATTAATTTAACAAATTCAGCTATAAAAACAAAAAACACACACACACACACACACACACACACATAGCAAAACCGTTAACCTGCAGTTTTGCTGTGTTGTGCGTTCGTGTGTTTGCGTGTGCGTGTTTCTATGCGTGCGTGCGTGTATGTGTGTGTGCAATATAATTTTAACATCCTCCGCCATATATGAGATGTAAGTCCCGATTCTAATCTGCTCATCTAATATTTTCAGCAATAATTTAACAACTGAATGACAGAATGAATAAATGAAAGAGTAATAAATAAATGAGTGAATAAATGAATGAATGAATGAATGAATGAATGAATGAATGAATGAATGAATGAATGAATGAATGAATGAATGAATGAATGAATGAATGAATGAATGAATGAATGAATGAATGAATGAATGAATGAATGAATGAATGAATGAATGAATGAATGAATGAATGAATGAATGAATGAATAAATGAATGAATGAATGAATGAATGAATGAATGAATGAATAAATGAACGATTAAATAAATAAACAATCACGATCATAACTAACCTGTCTTGTCAAATTTTATACTGAGTAACAAACATCTCACATTAATTACATAATGCATATTGAATTCACTGAGCTGAGCTTCAATCAATACACATACGGGCATTCATATTTGTGTTAGTGTGTATGTTTGTTTGTTTGTATGTACGTATTGTATGCATGTATGTATGTCTATTTGAACTTTTGTATGTATATTTGTATGTATGTATGTATGTATGTATTTATGTATGTGCGTGTGTGTTTAGTTGATATCATGAAACCAGTTACAAACACTCGAGTTTATGATTTTTAACAAATGACTTTGGACACACACATACACACACACACACACACACACACACACACGCACGCATACACATTTTGGTACGTACATAATCACACACACACGCACACACACACACACATTTCTGTATCTCTGTATGCATGCTTGTTTAAGTGAAAACAGTTGGAAGACATCAGTCCACTTTGTAAGTTTTAATTGCCCGTGATTTTTTTTCTCACACAAAATATAAATATCATTTAAACTTCTATTTAATTGTTTATTAATTCATAAAATTATTGATTGTTTATATTTATATAGCGCTTTATTGAGAAAAATTATCATTCCGGCGATTTTTCCTTCAATCTTTTATTCAGCTCAACATTTGCCAGCCAGATACCAAGACCAACCAGAAAGCCTGGATGTCTGATGAAGTCCATTTTGATTAGTGGACCCCCCTGGAGAGGTGATGATGACGATGATGACGGTGATGACGATGATGTTGAAGATGACAATAATAATAATAATAATAATAATAATAATAATAATAATAATAATAATAATAATAATAATAATAATAATAATAATGGGAACATTTTTTATTTTTCACCATAAAAAACATACAATGATAAAAATAAGTGCTAAAATTAAATATATACAACGTCAATAAAACTTTAAATTGCTAAAAAAACAGTAAGTTACGTAAAAACGACTATCTTGTTTTAGTTGTACAGCAATAACCGATAATAATAACAATAATAATAATAATAACAACGAAAGAACAACAACCTCGGTTATATTCAGATACAAAGCTTCAGTGACGAAGTCTTCTTCGATGAGCCTTCTAGCCAAGGCATACTTGGCGAGCGAGCCACACATGTAGACGTTTGAGATCTTGTGGACCCTGCAGTTGAGTAGGACCAGCTTGCTGACTGTTTTGGCTTGGAAACTTAATAACCCCGCGGCCAAATCCTCTTTTGAATATTTAGCTGTGTGTGTGTGTGTGAGTCTCTCTTTGTGTGTGTGTGTGTGTGTGTCTGTGTGTGTGTAGCAGTAGCAGCAGTAGTAGTAATAATAATAGTAGTAGTAGTAGTAGTAGTAGTAACAACAGCAGCAGCAGCAGCAGCAGCAGCAGTAGTAGTAGTAGTATATTCGTACGGACGTATTCTGCCTATTTTTGAAATTTATAAAACCTCTTTCTTGGAAACCCGATGAGGAAAGTTTCCCCAATTGAAAGGCCGGGACGTTGTCCGGAATGGCATTGTAGGAATCGTCATCGTGGTGGTTTTTGTGACGTAGATCTGACGTCATCGTCGTCACATTTTCGGCCCTGCCCTTTTCGGCCATTTTCATAAATTCGTCAAAATCCTGTGTATATTGTTGGGGCTAATTTTATTTCGACTTCTCCGATGAATAATTTTAGATACAATCACTCAATCAGTCGGTCTATCATTAATAAATTGAGTTACAAATTAATCAACCAATCAATCAGTCACAAACTCAACCAATCAATCAACCAATCGATCAATTAATCATCTATTCACATATACAATCAATCAGTCAGTCAATCAACCAACCAATCAGTCAATCAATCAATCAATCAACTAACCAATCAGTCAATCAATCAACCAACCAACCCATCAGTCAATCGATCAATCAATCAATCAATCAATCAATCAACCAATCAATCAACCAACCGATCAGTCAATCAATCAATCAACCAACCAATCATTCAATCAGTCACCCACCTACCCACCCACCCACCAACCAATCACCTGTTCTCCCAACATCTCTTCAACCAGACCACACAAAGTCTTCCCAGCTGCTCCTGTAAAATCAACCGTCCTTATCTTTCTCTCTTCGTCAAACTTTTAAAAATTATTATGGTAACTTTTAAAAAAATTAACTCCAAAGTAATAAATACAGTAACGAAATCATGTTATCAATTTACAAGCAGCAACAGCAGAAGAAGTAGCTGCAGCAGCAGCAGTAGTAGTAGTAGCAGTAGTAGCAACACGAACTACCATTAATAAATGTTTCTAATCTAACTGCCCAACTCGCTAAATTTCTAGAAAAACTACATCAACCTAACCAAGAAAGTAACAGACGCCGAGCCAAATAGGACAACGATGCATGGAGTCACAAAGTCCAGGTTTGAATGCAAGGTGAGGAGGTTCTCAACGATCCATCCATTCACGTCATCTGTCGTCAGTAGTCCCACAGCTGGTAGTGGTGAATCTCTGCTGTCGGTATTTCCATCTTCATTCATTTCTTCATCTTCTTTCGCTCCGCGATCGTTATCATAATTCACATTTAAATCATTTTTAACATCATCATTGTCACCGCCAAAGATATTATTATTATTGCTTTTATTATTATTATTTTCTTCTATTTCGGTAAATTTCCTCATGGCTGGGACGATGGTCCTAATAGAATTAACGGCGCTATGGATGGCGGCCATGTTTTTTTCAAAATGGCCGACATTTAGGGCGGGAAAATTTTTCAAAGTTTTTTGAAGACCCATCATCTCACTGTATAAGATTAACCTGTGTAATTGTGTGTGCGTGTGCGTGTGTGCGTGCGTGTGTGTGTGTGTGTGTGTGTTTGATAATAATAACAATAATGATAAACTGAAAATGAAGTGACGAACGAAATTCCAAAATCGCGTTCTAGACTGGCTTTAAAGTGCTGTGTGGTCACACCCGTCATGTACCACGTGACTTTGTCGCTGCTACAACTACTACCATTATTGCTACTACTACTACTACTATTGTTGTCACGTGATGTGCTGTTGTTTATGTTTTGATCACGTGCCGCTCTGACGTCACAGTTTTCTTTCAGGAAGTCGTTGATTAGTTTGACGTCGACTGTGTTGAAATACCTCAAGCGGAGCAGTCCGTGGTCAGACGGCTGATGGTGGTAGTAAAGATGATGACGATGATGATGACGATGATGATGATGATGGCGATGACGATGATGATGATGACGATGATGATGGTGACGATGATGATGGTGACGATGAATTGTTAGTATTATTACTACTGCTAATACTACTACTACTGCTACTACTACAACTACTACTACTAACATTATTGTTATTATAATTATTATAGTAAGAAGGAAGAGTTTGTGGACCTTAATGAGTCTCCCGGCACTGTAATCCAACTTTGATCTATAAAGAACTTTAGTTACTGAACCACCTTTTTAAAAAGTCATTTTAAAAAAACTGTCATTAAAACCGTTTCCATAGTTAAAGTTAATTATTATAATTAATATAATTAATATATAATTAATATATAATTAATATAATTAATATTAATAACGACACTACTACTAATTATTATTCATTATCAAATAAATTCATAATTTCTTGAAAATCGCCTAGGAACTATGTTTTCTTAGTAACTGTCCGATTGTGTGGAGTGAAAATATATTGGAAAAGCGAGGATTAAAAGAACGACAAAAAGAGAGAGAGAGAAAGAGAGGGAGAAAGAGAAAAAGAGAGAGAAAGAGAAAAAGAGAGAGAAAGAGATATATAACAAAATCTAAAAACCTGCGTCTACGACGAAACCCAGCGGAAAATCCATGAGCTCATGGGGCAGTTTCAAAATTTCCTCCTCCTCAGAAAAATGAGATGACGATGACGTCATCGATGACGATGATGACGTAGTAGTTGTTGATGAGGGGGATGATGATGATGATGTTGGTAGTGATGATAATGATGCCATTGCTGCCGCGTTTTCTGCCTCTGCTGCTGCTGCTGATGATGACGTCAAATTTTATAAAATGAATGTTTCACGGAAACAAACGAATTTCTATTCGCTATTCTTCTTCAAATAGTCTTAATCTAACGATAAATGAATAATTGAATAAATAAATAATAATAATAATGATAATAATAATAAAAGAATAGAAACATTAAAACAACATCAGCAATAATAATGAATATAATTGGGAGTCATCATTTAAAAATATTCTTCCTCTCAGATTAGTTCCACGCCAAAAATAACCTTCCAAGCAATATCAGACGAGAATCGTCCTTAAATTTCTGAACAACTTTTATATACATGTATTTATATATATTCTTGTCACATTCTTGTCACAATCATGGCATGATTATCATCATCACCGTCATCATCATCATATCATCATCTTAATATATCATGATATACCTTAATATATCATGATATACCGTAATATATCATATTAATATGTTAATACATTGCACCAAGAAAACATAGTTCTTAGGCGATTTTCAAGAAATTATGAATTTATTTGATAATGAATAATAATTAGCGGTAGTGTTGTTATTAATATTAATTATATTAATTAAATATAATAAAGAGAAAAAAAGAACGAATGAGAGAGAGGCACAGACAGACACTCACACATACACTGACGATTTTTTTTCACTGTCACTAATTTTTTGTTCCAATTTGTCTGAAGGGTTAGAAATATATTTTTTTTATCAAATTCCAAGAGTCGAAATTCAACATTCAATTATAAAAACTGAATTAATAATTAATAATAATAATAAAATAATAATAATAATATAATAATAATTAATAATTTGCAGTTGTTGGTGACAATTATTGTGGATAGTTTCGAATAGTCGAATGAGGCATGGTTTTTAAACATGGGTGTGTCGGTCAAAAGGCAACGAAAACAATGAACATTTTAGATTATTCTACTAGAATGTTCTCGAATGTTCTAGAATGTTCTGGAATGTTCTAGAAGGTTCTGGAAGATATTTTGTATTTTAACTTTTGCCCTTCAAAGCAGATTAAACAGACATAACACTGGCCAAAAATTAATTTCATGATATAGAAAGCAAAAGTTATCGTTAAGAATGCTAAATTAAATTTGAAATCTGGGTTATATTAATGAATTTTGAGTTCTCCGATCTATATAAAAAATGTATATAAATGACACACACACACGCACGCAAACACAGGTACACACAAACTAACTCACATACACAATCACGTACACACAGTACACACACACACACACACGCACGCACACACACATTTATCTAGCAGCTTCCGATCAATCAATCAATCAATCTATCAGTCAATCAATTTGTTTTTAAAGCGCTAGTTTACGATGGAAATATTTATCAAACAAATAATTTATATCATGATATATATATATATATATATATATATATATATATATATATATATATATATATGTATATATATATAAATAAATGTATCATGATATACCGTAATATATCATGATTGTCAGTACATTGCACACGTGTTTCATAATTTTCATTGAAATGAAATTTTTAAAAGGTTTTTTACAATAAATATGCTTTTATCAACATTATGTAAACAACATATGCAAGGAATATACGCAATTTATTAGCGTTCCATAATGTAAATGTCTTTGTTACTTAGATAAATAAGAGGATATTTTCAATAAATTAATCATCTTGGTATAATTTTATTGTCTTTGTTTCGACTCATCGTACAAATCCAAATTGGTCAGCCATAGTCCCAATCCAACTAGAAATCCGGGGTGTTGTATGAAGTGCAGCCTGGTTATGCGACCCTGGAGATAGTGATAATTAGAGAGGATGTCAGGATGTTGAGGGAGTAAGAGAAAGAGAGAGAGAGAGAGAGAGAGAGAGAGAGAGAGAGAGAGAGAGAGAGAGAGAACTTGATGATAATGATGTAGCGGTTGGCACGATGATGATATGATGATGACGACGGTGATGATGATAATCATATCATGATTGTGGCAAGAATTTTATAAATTTTGAAAAATTAGTATTGCCATTCATTTTTCCATCTTTCATTTCTTCTCTCTCTCCCACTCTCTCTCTCTCTCCCTCTTTTACATTTTCTTTTTTACACATTCAACTCACTTTTATAAGACAATTAGTAAATGAATCTAGGAAGAAACTCGTCTCAACCATCTTCCTAGCCAGCTGGTACCTAAGGGGTGAACCACAGATGTACACATCTTCAACGTTGAGGGCCCTACTATTCAGGTAGGCAAACTTGCCGATCATTTTGCACTGGTAGCTAAGAAGGCCCGCCGCCAAATCGTTCCTGCTGTATTTGCCTGTTTGTTTTGTAGAGATAGGTAGATTCAAAGAGAAGGGGAAAGAGAGAATGAAAAGAGAGAGAGAGAGAGTAAAAAAGATAGAGGAAAATAGTTTTAAATTGAAGTCTTTAAAATCAAATTATCATTTAAAATTAAACATTTAAGGATGTTTTATTCAATTCAAAAAGAGCACTAAACACACATAAGTCGTCGTTAAAGAAATTTTAAAATATAATTTTCGGCCCGCGGCACAACACACCCTTGCCGTTGGCAGTCCCTGATGACAGTTTCCCAAGGTCAAAGACGTGCAGGTTGTCCGGGAAGGCCGCGTACCAGTCTTCATCCTTGTGATCCTCACATCTCAAATCTCCCGCCATTGTATTCACCCTCTCAGCATCGCCATCCTCTGCCATCTTCATAAATTTGTCGAAATCCTCCAAGGTAATAAGTATAATAATTATAATTATTAACAATTATTTATAATTATTTATAATTATTAATAATTATTTATTATCTTTATTATAAGGAGGAGTAGTTGACTGACAAGTTGGTCTAATGAACCTTTTCACCGAGGAGTTCTTCAGCCAATCCACAGAGGGTCTTCCCTGACATGGGCATGTGGCCGACCGTTCGCATCTTCAACTTCTCATCCAACTAGTGAGAAAAATTTTTAAAAATATGAATAATTATTTTTTTATTTATAACAACAACAACAATAATAATAAGGATAATATTAGTAATAATAATAATTACAAATAAATAATTATAGTTATAAATAAATAATTATAGTTATAACAAACGGACACCAGTTGTGAATAAGCGTAAGTCCAGGAATCATACACACTGATTTCAATAGACTGGAATCTTTTTGCATTCAAACACGGTCAGTGCAGCGCCAGTGTCAGGCACCTTAACTATCTCGCCATCACTAAATTATTGATTTTTAACCATCTGGTCTTACCATCAAAAATTTAGCAGACGATCCGAACAGAAGAATGAGAGAGGGTGTTGCTAATCTACGGTCGGTTGGTTTCAAGTACTTATCCGCCCATCCCTGGAGGTCGCTTTCGGTTATTAGTTGGACCACCGGACAAACATTTCCGTCTGAAGTTGGCTGGTCATTTTGGCCGCTGAAAAATAAAACAAAATTTTTTACAGCTTTCTTTTAATTAAGTCTAAAACATTACACACATATTACTATGTAGGGGTATGAGGCTCTGCTTGCATTCGAACCAGGCCAATTCAATGCGGGATCACAGGCATCTTCAACAATCACACTAAAAATCTAGCCACCACTGACTTATCAACAGTTTCTCGTTTAGTTGTACCTTCCCCATCTTCATCCCCATCCGGTCCACTAGCTATTGCCCTTGGTTCTTCATCAACATTTTCATCCTCACCCTCCTTTTTGCCATCACCCTTTCTACCACAAGTACCACCATTTTCACTATTATTTTTACCACCACTATCAGCAGCAGCAGAAGCAGCAGCAGCAGCTTTACCAGCTTCATTATCTTTGGCCCAACTAAAAGCGTTTTCGCCGGTGGCCTCCCATTGTTTGATGGCCACAAACAGCATCTTAATGTATTCTCTCACGTATTCAACAGCGCTTAGCTGGCAATCGTACGTCCCTAAGTTAAGGGTGTCCAGGTCGGATAGGGCTCGTTTCAGGGCCGCAGTTTCAGAGAAGAGATAGCATCTGAGGTTTGTTTTTTTTTTGAAAAATATGGTGGTGGGGATTGTTTATCGATATTATTTTCATCTACGTGTTGTGTCATGTTGTATTATCATTATTTACTACTACTACTACCACTACTACTACCACTACTACTATTACTACTACTATAACTACTACTACTACTACTACTACTACTACTACTACTGTTACTTTTGAGGGTTTTTATGAATGGTTGGTTAAGAAAGCATTCAACCTTACTTACTTGATCTCAAAATTTTCTTCTAAATCCTTCTTTATGTACTGCGTCGTCAACCCTGTCATGTACCACGTGACTCTATCGCATTCACTTCCGTTTCCGGTAGAAATGACGTCACAATTGTTTTTCAGGAAGTCGATTATTTTCTCCACGTCCTCCATGTTAAAATATCTGAGATGCAGTAGGCCACTATCTGAAGGCTGGTCATGATGTTGATGGCGATGATGATGATGATGATGGCGATGATAATGATGTCACCTTTAATAATTTTCCATCTTTATAATCTTCTAATGATCTGTACAAAACTTTGACAGCCGAACAGCCTGGTGAATAATATATTTCACTCATTCATTCACTAATTAATTAATTAATTTAATTCATTCATTCATTCATTCGTTTGTTTCGTTAGTCAGTCAGTCAATCGTTCACTCATTCATTCATTCACTAACTCATTCATTCATAATAGTAAAAACAATCGTGTAATGATATATCAAATTTCCAATAGTCTAAAAATAATTTTCCTGGTTTTCCCAAAAACCTGCATCGATAACGAAACCAAGCGGAAATCCCATAATCTCGTGCGGAACTTTAATAACCTCATCGCCATCGTCATCATTTCTCTGTGGTAATGATGATAGCAATGATGGCGATGAAGAAGATGATGCTGATGACGAAGAAAATGATGATGACTCAGTTAACAAAGATTCCATACTTCTCTATAGTTTACCCTGTGGGTATATATTAAGTTACCTTAATTTTGGGTCTAGATTTACTGTTAATAATTTATAAAAATGAAAAAAATTAATTAATTTCTACATGAAAACCTCTTTAGAGTACACAGTAGTCGGTTAAATAAGACATTTTTAATAAAAACCCTTGTAAATATATATATATGTGAAGAGAGAGAGAGAGAGAGAGAGAGAGAGAGAGAGAGACCAAGAGAGAGAAAGAGAGAACGATGATTATGAACAGATTGATGAGAGTCCATCATTATAAACGATGAAACAGACTGAAAATGAGATCAGAATTAGAGAAAGAATGTGTTTCCTATGTATGACATGATACTGATGACGATGATGATGACAACGATGATGATGATGATGATGGTGGTGGTTATTTATCTGATGATGGTGATGATAATGATGAAGTTGTTGTAAATAGCAGAACTTTTTTTTTTACGTCTGGCCATCTGCATAGCAAGGTCTAATATTTTTCAATTGTAACTAAATGAACTTTAAATTTACTTTAATTTTTAATTAAACTTCAAATCATACGTATTTTGGACAAAAATATTATTTAAAATGCCAAAAATATTAATTAAATCATTCAAATATATATAAATATTAAGTTTATTTATTCATACGAATATGATATAAAATGATTGAAAAATAAAATTAGGCAGTACCATAGACATATATGGACAAAGCCAAAATTAAATTTATGCCTGCATAAAATTATCATTACTATGTTACGACTGCCATGTTGGATTGTTTTGTTATATATATCGCTTTGATTCTTTCCTAATTTAATTAATTTAAATTTGTTTCCGGCTCGGTGTTTGCTGTCTTATTTGCTCGTTTTGTCTACCTTTGTCGGAATAATGGACAAGAAAAGGTTTTTATTTTATTTTTTAGCTTGATTTCTTATGCAGTTGTTTCTATTGGCTGCATTCTGCCTCTCTACATTCTGCAATGGAACTGAATGAAACAAATCAAATACAAAACTTAAATATATTTAAATTTATTTTATTTATTCCTTTTTCTTATTCATGATTATTCTAGTTAACTAATTGCCAAGTAATTAAATACCTTACTTAAAAAATGAACAGAGGCAAAAGAATGAAGCCAGTAGATGATGGTCTGTGGGATTGTTCGGTCTGCACTTACAAGAATTCGGCAGAAGCTTTCAAATGTGCAATGTGTGACGTTCGCAAAGGAACTTCAACCCGGTATTTATATGTAGATTGCTTTTTTTTGTACTTAATTTTGTTGCTTGTGAAATTTACGGCTATTAATAGAGTATTTATTCAAGACTTTTTTTAAATTGATTTGGTTCATGTGCTGCATTCCTAAAGATCTCCTTCTGAATTCATATTTATTAATATCCTATTTAACTTGATACACAATTAACTCTATGCAGGATCTAACTTTATATTTTTCATGTTTAGCCTGCTTACGCAACATAATTTTTTTATTAAACTTTGTAACTTATAGAAAGCCTAAGCCAAATCTACAGTTAGTAGCCCAGCAGGCAGTTCAGCAACTGGCAGCTGTGGCCCCTAAAAAGGCCCACAAGAGATCATCTGATAAGTTGGACATTGGGTCTGACACATCGCAGGATAGTCACAGATCGGAAACTGATCATTTTGTTCTTAAATCTAGGTAATTGTTTTTTCTGAATGTAATCTTTCTAAGTCCTCATTTTGTATTTTATAATTTTGCATGCATTTAAAATGTTTGTTTTCAAATAGTTGAATGTGATTTTAGAATCCTAACTTAAACATATGCTTTGTTATAAGTGTCTGATTTAATATAATTAATCACTCATTCAGAATCACATTACATTAATCCCGTTACATGCATACAAGCCATTGATGCCATTTAAAACATTATAATATAAAGTCTATTTCATTCAACAGCTCAACATCAGTATCTTCCACCTCGACATCCCAGTCAGCAGCCAACAACAACACCTCAACGACTGCAACAACATCAACTACAAGTTCATCACAGTCAACAACAATGACATTTGCAACATCAACGTCACATACAGATCGAACAATTACAATGCACAATCTTTCGTCACCGTCCTCAACAACAACAACGTCATATTCTATTAGCAAGACCCAACAGCATGCTGGCTCTGACAAGTTCAGCATGAAAACAACTACAACAGCTACAGTGGCAGCACACAGGCAACCCAACAGCACCACCACATCATCAAATGCCTCCGGTAAAAATAATCTTTCCTCTATGGAAGTTACTGTGGGGGACTTAACTGTTGTCATAATGGAAACAGACTCCAACTTTTCCACAAATATGTCGGCCAATCACAGATCTGCAAACAAGGCCAAAAGAAAGAAGATAACAATAGAGAGTGATATAAATTTGAACAGTGAAAACAACAACATCAACATATCTAATAATATTCCCATAAACGGCAGTAGTTCAGACCAACCACAACAACAAAGTACCTCTACAAACACTACTTCTACTACTGCTTCTGCCGTTTCCAATACAACAATCAACAACAACATACAACAGCACAACTACAACATCTGCACCTCATCTCCGATAACAGGCCTAACAATTTATAGCAACAACAGCAGTGGCAACAGTAACAGTAACAACAACAACTCGACAACAATAACAATTATTAATAACATCACCACTGATAATGGCGCTTCTGCCTGAATGAACGAATTGTGTTTGCACGTAAACTCTAACAAGACACCGTTATATTTTTGTCTGTGCTATAATTATTAGTATTATTATGTTGTAATTATTGCTTTAATTGCTACTTTCATTGTTATTTCAACAAGTTAGATACAATATTATCTTGGATACACAAGTATAATACGGTTTAATGAAACATTCAGTGTATTGTATCTACCATTATCATGAGCTAAATTATAATGCCACTCTTCTATACTCACTCCCTCTCTCATTTAATCTCTCTCTTTTTCTATCTCTCTCCCCACATAATAGTCATTGCTGGAACAAAACTGTAAATGATAAAGGAGCGTTTTTTCCATTGTCATTAATATTGATGTTGTCTATAATACTTCAGTCAAATTTTTCCATTTATTTTTAATTGTTAGCAGCGTATGTCTGTCTGTGTGTGTGTGCGTGTGCGCGTTTACATGTGTGCACGTGTAGAATACAATATGTAATGCTGATAATGCACGTGTTGTGTGTTTCACTTTTACAGACTAAAAGTTTATGTAATCTAGTTTTAAATTTCACAAGTTAGTAGTAAATCAGAGAATTGTTCATTTGATTTTTTAATATTTATTTATTGATAATTTTGTTCTAAAAGAATCTTCACTAATATTAAAATCATTGTTATTTTATTCTCATTCGACAGTTGGATTAGTTTGATGTTGTTGTTTTGTCTCTTCATCTCTCTTTCTTTGTCGTCTCTATTCTTAATTCTTTGCTTTCTTTTTCTTATCGAATAGGGTGCCAAACATCTAGAATATCTTTGTATTTCTTTGGTTCTGAAGAAAATTTTAATAGGGAAAGATGAATAAATGTTATTTTTTTAATTTGTTTGTTATTTTTTGTGATTGAAAAGAAAATTGAAAAACTAGGGTGATTGATTTATTTTTAAAACACCAGGAAAAAATCATTAATGTGATTTAATAAAAAGCACAAAATAGTTAAAAAATTATTTAAACATTAAAAATTAATAATCATATTACAACCTAATATTGGTAAATTACTAACTGACGTCCGGGAAATGTTCTGGGTGCTTCTCGACATAATCCCAAATGATTGCTTCCTTAGTTAGCAGACGCCTGTAATTGTACTCATGGAAAATGCTTCCAGCACCATATCCAAACAGCATCCCCACTGGATATCTGTACACCTCTGTTGACAAATCAAAAAGCTTATTTGATCAAAACATGATGTTTTAAAAAAATTTAATTGAAATTAATTATTAAAATTAAATCAGTGAGATATTAAATGATTTAGTGAAAAATTGATATACAAATTGATTTCAAACTTCAATGCAATCATAAGAAAAAGTGGGATAATAGTCTAACTAAATAAAATTCACTGAGATCACTAATTCACTAAATAAATTAAAATACTAGTTTTAATAATTAAAATTTCAAAATCACAAACGGGCATAAAGTGGTCGTTTAGCAGCCATATTCAGCAGGGCGACGATAGTCCCCCCGAGGGCGGCAAAAGTCAATTCGGCCGATTTGAGGTCGTCACCTCGAAAAAACAATTTTTTATACAATTCCATTTTTCAAACAAATTTAATTATATCGACAAGGTCGGGTCGAAATACCCGAAAAAGATTCCGAGTAGATTTATTTTTAAAAGTAAATTTGTTTAAAAGTTAATTTAAATTTATTACTTTCAATCGCAATGATTAAAGTACGTTAAAAAATCGTTCATATATCTAAATTTAAGACATTTTAAATGTACAATTCTAAACCTTTATTAATGTTCAGACATTGTGACGATAATTTAAATACTTTTGTTCTCAATCTTCCTCAATTTTGTCCCCTCTGCGGTGATGATTTGGAATCAGCTGCCACATTCAAAGTTCCATTGTTCAAAGTTCCTAATCCACTGTCAGACGGCCACCAGAATCCGTTCAGAATTGTAATCAAACCTACAGCTGGAAATTTTATGGAGTCTGTACATGAATTAAATAATTATCATATATGATTTTTTATCATATGAAACACTATTCAATTGTAAAATTAAAAATCACGTATGTTTAAATAACAAATTGCTACTATCTATCTATATTCTATAGCTATCTATAATAATTAAACTAAAGCATTCTTGCCAGTACAATTTTTACGACAATTAAGTATAATAATTACGATTTATTATATATATATTTCATAATTTTTACATATTTTTTAATTTAATTTAAGTAATTATACAACAGAGAAAAATCTTCACATTGGTGTAACAGACTCAAAAGGTGATTTAATACTCTTCATTCATATTCACATTTATTCAATAAATTGCTTCAATTGATATAATTATAAATTATAATAATATTTTTATAATTATTTCCTCAAGGTGATGTCTTCCATTTCAACAAAAATGGCCTAAACAGATCAACATCATCTCCATTCCAATCACCATCATTATCACCATCATCACCATCCACATCTGAATGGAATTCTTGTCTGGCTGTCGACGTCTTAAACTACCTACCGCATGAAGCCCAACAAACTTGCTCAGGAATGTGGGATTTTAAACTTCAAGAGATGATGATGTGTGATCAGTGGGGTGAAGAAAGGTTAGATAATTTGGTTAAAATCTATTTTCCATTTAAATATCTTTCTTGTGTATATATATATATATATATATATACATATATACATGACTGTCTCAATCTTAATTTTATATGTATTTATTTATTTATCTTCCTCTTTTAACTAATCAATCCAACCAATTTATAACCACCAGATACAAGGACAATGAATATAACTGTTACACATTCGTCCTTTCATTCTTAACTGAGCTTCGGCTTTCCAACTATCTACCGACCATAAACAGCAAAGAGAAATTTTGTGAAGAATTCATTTATAAAAATTTAATAAAGTGTTTGAATTATATTTCAATTATAAAAGAGATTGAAAAAAATAATTACTTTATCAATAAAAAATTAACTTAAAACTCAATAAATAAAACCAAATACTTTATAAAACATGATAAAACATATAATATTCATCTCATGATTGATAACCTTGTTGGAATTATTAAACAAATTATTGCCACACCATTTCCTAGTTTCAAGTTTTTTAACGTTAAACAGCTAACTAAACACGCAAAATTTTACACAAAGACATACACACACAGTCGTACATACAAACATAGACATACACACATGAACGTATAAACAGACATACATACATACGTGAAATGTCTAATACGTAAGACGACAGTGTACAAATTGGAACTTGAATACACATAAAAGGCATTTTGGAGTATTATGCTTAAATAATGCCGAAAAATTTAATTAAAAGAATTTTTTTTTATATATATAATTTTTTATTGATGTGGTCCTCTTATCTTTATATAATTAATTAGCCAAACAATCATACATCTTTCGATCAGTCAATCAAACCAGCCAGCCATTCAGTCATCTAGTAAGGCTTGTTGGATGTTGTCAGCACAGCTATCATCATTGCTATTAGAAAAAAAAATTTAGTATTTTAATAATTATTTTTTCCAATCATTCTATATATCTTATCAATCAAACAATCAATCAATCAATCAATCAATCAATCCAATCATTTGTTCATTCATTTTATCAATCAATCAATCCATCATTCATCTCACCAATCAATCATTTCTTTCATTAATTCATTTTGCCAATCAGTCAATCCACGAACCAACCTAACCAAACCCAATCCAGACCTAAAATCATACTCCTCCCTCTCTTCTTGTTCGTACCAGGATAGGTGCGGTTTTTCAAGGGTTTTCGGCGGAAACTTCATTAAAAAGTATACCCAGCATGGAATTTTTTGACAGAATGATGGAGATGATGGTTGCAATGACTCTTTGCTAATGACTTTGCCCTCGTTTGTCCTCGAAAAATGAAATTTAAAAGAATATTTTTTCAAAAATCAGATGATGATTCTTACCAGGGTTGAGAAAAAAATTTGTGAAATTCAATCAATTGCTTTGCTATATAATTTATTCATTATATGACAAAGAACAAAGATTAATTATTAATGAATTAAATTCTAAACTTATGGATAAAAAGCAGAAAAAATATAAATACTCTTCCACGCATGTTATGAATATTTGTTGTCTTTGGTACACAAATGGGTGACCTTCAAAATCATCCAACCAGCTCAGGAATTTGTTGTCTATCTCGTAAATATCTCCCTCTATATTCTTAAAAAATTTGAAATGAAAATAGGCCGTTTGAAAGATATCAATTTAATTAAATCAGAGAAAAACTAATTCTATGTTTACAATTGGCAAAAATATTACAAAATAACTAAACTACAAAATTTATTCCCTAATCTTAAATCAATTAGAAAGTTAAAATTCACCAACTTTCCCAATGTCAGGGGCAAAAAGTAGGAATGGTAGTTTCCACCTGGTCGCCACAACGAGTGGGTACTTTACCTCGGTTTTACCTTTGCAAATAAACCTTTTGATTGTGATGTTGATAAATGTGATGGTGATAATCAGGACGATGAGGAAGATGACTAAATTAAAAAAAAAAATAAATGGTGTTTCACATTTTCCCCACCTTGCATAGCCTAGAGATGAGTTGTTGAAGAAAATGTTGTTAGGGTAGCCTCTTTTTAGCGTTCCATAGACAAAAATTTTTATGTATTCACCCATCTTAAAGATTGATTGGTTGGTCAGCTGGTAAAATGGTTGATTGGTCGGTTGAATAATTGACAGCTAAGATCCTACAATATATACAAATATATATATAATAAATATATACAGTAATATACAATATTATCAAAATTAAAAAATTGAAATAGGTTCTATACACTCGAGAATGAATTGGAAAACTGTATATTATTCTAACTTCAATAAAAACATTATTCTAGCTTCAATAACATAAATAATGACCCCAAGAGCTTGGTTAGAAATATTGAGAAACATAATAAAAAACACTATACAATGCTAGAAATTTGTTAGATTTCATAAATATATAATAAATATTTACCTGTCTTTATTTATATTATGAATAATAATCAAATCAACAGTTCATCTGAACTTGACAATTAACTTGACAACTCAACTTACGTACTGTCCTAATTTCTAAACTCCAAAGGTCTGACCAGCAATCAACAACTAAACTAAACTTAACTTTAATATAACAAACACATTTATTCATTCTAAATTTCTAACTTCAAACCAGCAACAATCCTTAATTGTACTAAGACCTAACTAACAAAAGTAACAAACACTAACTAACTAGCCTAGTGAGCCTAACTTCTAATTAATTCCCCAGCTGATTGATATGTAATAGAGTAAATTAACAAATAGATAATAAATATTATACTAATATAAATATTATACTAATATAAATCCTAATATAAAATAAATAAATACTTTTTATAAATAGTATAATTAATATATAATATAATTTAATTTTTAATATATTAAATTATTAATGAATAATCATATGTATGTAATATGTATGAAACCTTTCTTGAAATTGTTGTATTGAAATTGAAAAATTGCAGTACAGAGTACACTTTTAATTAATTCTTTAAATAATCAACCTTCAAACTAATTACTAATTCTCTAATTACTAATAATAAATAATTAAATAAAATATTTAAAAAACACAAAAAAATAAAGATTTGAGAGATTTAAACGTCCACTTCACGATCAACAAAGAAATAGAATAAACAAAGAAACGAATGACGAAAAATAAAATCAGCCAATAGCATGGATACAGATATTATAATATATTATATATATATTATAAAATATAATAAATATTAATTCAATATTTATAAATAATAATATTTGATACAGCTCTTATAGCAGACTCAATGGAAAAAACTCCAAACAATTGTTTCCAAACTGGTTTTTGAAAGTGAAAGGAAAGGCTTGCAAATTAACATCAACAATGATGATGATGTTGATACACTGATGATGATGATAATGATGATGATGATGAAGATGATGACGTCAACACAGCCTAATACTTCGAAACAATTTTACGAGTCATTATTTACAATGTCAGTGGTCGTAAAACCATTTAATGTAGAAACAGTTACAACCACCACCCCGACTACTACTACTACTACTACTACTACTATTACTACTACTACTACTACTACTACTACTTCTACTACTACTACTACTACTACTAATAATAATAATAATAGCATTAAAGTAGAGTCGTACAAGCAGAATTATTATAAGTATTAGCAGTAGTAGTAGCAGTGGTGGTAGCCGTGGTAGCAGTAATAGTAGTAGAAGCAATAGTAGTAGTAGCGGTAGTGGTAGTAGTAGTAGTGGCAGTAATTGTAGTAATCGCAGTAATAGTATAGTATTTATGTTTAATTAATTTATTGTTTTACGATAGGTAGCCAATAAAATAATTAACCAGATGTGTGTATGATTGTGATTAAGTTTGTATGTTTGTTTGTGTGTGTTTGTGAGCATGTGTGTGTTTGTGAGCATGTGTGCGCACGTGTGTGTATGTTTGTGGTCGTCAGACTAGATCAATTTTTTTAAAATTTGGTCAGTCCGGTAACATTAATTTTTTAAAGGATATTTGTTGCTATGATCGTGTGTATGTCTGTTTGCGTATGTATGTCTGTGCGTGTGTATGTGTGTGCGTGTGTATGTGTGTGCGTGAAAATGTGTGTGTGAGTGTGTGTTTGCATAAGCGTATGTATTATTTTGTTGGCGAAAAAATTAAATATCACAACTTACGATCAAATTTTAAAAAGTTTCTTTGAATGTAGCAGAGTGAAAATAAAAACAAAAGATTCTACCATGAAAAATATTTGCGCTACATTTATTTGGTCTCGATAGTTATATATATATTATTATTATTTGAATCATCAACAAATAATCTTCTTCTTCTTGCTATTGTTTATAATAATGATAATAATAATAATATTAATAATATTAATAATAATATTGTAATTTATAACTGCTTTCTTATTAATGTTATATTGTTAGCGAAATTAATAATAATAATAAAATTAATTAGAATTTTAAAAAACCAACAGCCCTGCTAATAATATGTATGATCACATCAATTACTACTACTTCTACTAGTTTAATAATGGTAATAATAACAATAATAGGTGCAATAATAAAAATATATATAAATAAATACAAATATTATATATATATACAAAAATATAAAATAATACAAATAAATAATTTCTCTTCTCAATCAGATCTTTAAAAAATTGAAAATATGATTATAACAATAGATAATAACAATATTGAAGCAAAGATTCCATCACATAATAAGTTAAACTGCTTTTATTTTTTTATCATTATTATATTAATAATAATAATAATTATTATTAACAATAATATTATTATTGAAGCAAAGATGCCATCACATAATAAGTTAGAAATAAATTGATCGATTGATTGTATGATGATAATAATGGGATCACTGCTTTTATTCAATCAAATAACATCTAAAATGGCAATAATCAATATATTGAAAGTAATTTAAAATAATGATAAAGATATATTGAAATCAAAATTATTATAATAATGAAATTAATGAAGTCAGCAGTCTACATCTATACAAATGAGTAGCCTACTAATAGAGAATGTTAGTTTTGAAAAGAAAGGTTCATACAATTTTCCTATCGCAATATATTGAGCATCGAGTTTATTGAAAACCCGATGTTGAAATTTCAAAAGCTTTCATTAAAAGCTGTTTAAATTAATTAAATTTAAGGTTTTGTGAATATCCTCTCGACTTTGACAAATTTGTTTCGTGCCATACTGTTAATTCCAAGATTTCGATTATGTTATTGCAAACCAGAGTTATAACTGGACGAAGAGATTTAAAAAGTACAGACTCTGGTTGAAAATCTTCACCATCCAAATCAGTAAATATTGAAACACACCAAGTTGAGCAGTTTTTAATGTTTTAAGGATCTTATTGTGGCGATTCGAATTTATTTTCAAAACAGCATAATAATAATAATAAATAATAATAATAATTAATAAATATCATAATTATTTATTTATGATCTTTTCTAAAACAACGTCATCATCTCTGTAATTAATGCAATAAAAAAACACATACACTCCGATTCTTTTAATTCCGACCGGTTTTTGAAATATTAATAATAATAAATAATAATAACTAATATTTTTATAATTAAGACGTAATTATAGATTAAATGTAGTTTAGGCATTTTAATTTTAGCCCATTTTTAAAATGACTTTCCTCAATATTTTAAGTCTGTTCCTGCTAAATAATAAGAATAGAAAAAAAGTAGTAATTGTGAATATTAATAATAAATAATAATAATAACTTTTCATAATATTAATACTATAATTGTGTAACAAGCGCAAAGATATATAGTCATACCGCTTCTGGCTTGCTGATTAAGAGTTAGAAGGTTATACCTGTTAATCGTAATAAAATAAAAGTTATTATTAAAATTACTAATAATATTAATTATCAACTAATAATTATGGATAATAATGAATGTTTCTTTAGTTTCCTATGATTATTTTTCATTTATTGTATTCTATTTTATAAAGTATTCCTACTTAATCCCTGTAAATCTACTTAATGCCACGTTCAAGCTATTTTACACATGACGAGATTTATTGGATTGTGATAAAATTTGAAATCTTCAAATAATTTGGTGAACATTTTACGGAAAATATCAATACTAGCTATTAAAATAGCATCAGCAATAAAAGATTAACCATTTCTGACTTTCACAACGGTGAAATTCAGTTAAATTTTGTTCAAAATTGCTAAATTTGTGTGATATGCAAACAAAAAATATTACCTCAATATCCATAATTTACCTAAATTTTATACTTAAAATTTATAATCTATAATTTATAATAATTATATATAATTATAATTTTTATTATTCGAAATTCGGCCTAAATTTATTTGCAATAATTAAATATAACAGTTAGTAATTTTTAAATAATAATAATAATAAATAAATAATAATTGAAAATATTTTAACCTATAACATTTCGATAATATTTTACAAAAGAGAGTTATAACGAAATGTTAATTCTTCAAGAAAAATTCTTTCGTCAGTCTGGTTTGCCTGGCAAATAATTTGTGGCCATTTTCTAAATTAAAATGACGTTTTACGTGTATGAAGTAGTTTAATGTTCGGCTACATTTAAAAATAAATTACAAAAAAATTGATCCACAATTAATCGTCTATAATTTAGTCAATAATAAATAAATAAAATAATTATAACCATCTATAGTAATATAGCTCCGTGTTATTAATAATACTATAAAATTAATATGACAATCAGACATAACCAGACATAATTCATAATTTGGCATAATTCACCCAACCAATTACATAGCGTAAAGCCTGATATAAACACTATTCATATGAATTATTATTATTATTTTATGTTTTTTTAAATATAATAATTCGTAATAATAATAACAACAATAATAATATGTCATGTAAATATATAAATAATTATAACCATCTATAGTTATATTTATTTTATTATTAATATTGTTATAATAAAACGTCATTTAATTTTTTTTAATTATAAATAAATTATTAATAAATAAGGTATAAATAAAGATATTAATTCTTATTTTAGCCTCGGCGGATATGGCCAATTGCATAGTCTCAACCGTTCCTAAGCCAATGACGTCATCTTCGAACGATAAAAGGTCGACTATGATTGGTCGGTTCATGTACGGGCTGTTCGAGAAGCAGATCATGTGCGACGTCATTATACAGTGTCGGGACTGCGAAATTATGGTTATAATTATGACATAATAATAATAATTATGGTTATAATTATGACGTAATAATGGTTATTATAGTTATAATTATTACAAAAATATTTGTATTATTATATGCAGGTGAAATATTTACTGAATGACAATCCTAATTCTACTGAGTCATTAAAATGCAATTAATATTTATTATACTATATTATATTATAATAAAAAATATATATATATATATAATATAATTTTTAATTATATTTCATTATAATTATACAAATCTAAATTATAATTATAATCTAATTAAAATTATTATTACAGTTGTAATAGTAATAGAGTCAGTAGCATTAATTTCATAATAATATTGTTTGACTTACATAGTATATACTGCAATTATATAAAAGTTAGTAAAATTAAAATATATTAAACATTGTAGTTTTGAAACATTAGTAAATTGACGAATCTAGTCACAAAATACTTGAAATAATGAATTAATTAAGTTCTAAGGTTAACGTAGCAAATAGAGAATTCTTAGTCATCTTAGTACAAGCCTACTTTTACTTAGTATCTTAGTACAGGCGTAAATTTTTTAAAAGCCTAAAGTTACAAATTTCAAAAGTTTAATATATTTACCATGTTCGTTAGTTTAGCAGAGTAACTGTTAATAATTTAATAAAATTACTAATAGAGTAACTTAGTATGCCTAATAACATAATATTGACTGGTGTATGTTTGATGATATAAATCCTGTACTGTATATAAATATATATATATATATTTATATACAGTATAAATATATTTATATTTAAATTTATATATATATTAATTTATATAAATTTATATATATATATATATATATATATATATATATATACAGATACACAGTTGTTTAGAAAAGTTACAGCACTTTCAGCGTTGATCGACCTGATCAATGCTTTAGTCCGTGCACTTGTGATAAATTTAGGATTCAGACTATCAGAAATACAGCTGTGACTCGTTAACAACCAAACAAATCAACCGGGTCTTAAAACTTTGTGTACACGACATTGTACATATAAAGCTACTACATGCCTATATCGGACACTAACATAAACATTTTCATAAAAATACAAATATAAAAACAAATACAGGCAAACTTATACATACATATATAAACGCATATAGAAACACATACAAACGTATAGAAACACATACAAACACATATAGAAACACATACAAATGCATAGAAACATATACCCACAGGCCCACAAATTGGTGCTAGGAGCTTGTAGCGAATGTCTACACCGTCAGTTTCTCGAGTGCGACCGCGGAGGAACGCCCTCGAATCAGCTGCCCGCCCAGCAACAGCAGCAGATTGCAGAAATATCTGAGAATGATTACACAAGCAACAAATATGGCAGATCCTGTCAAATATGCTGTCAGGTGAACGATGGCCTGCAGGAATCGACTGAAGCTCAATTCTCCAACCAACAGTCAATGGATGAATCAATTTATCAATCTGGAGTGGCGTTAATTAACCAGCAGCCGACGACGAACTGCACAAATTTCTTCCCCGCTCAATCCATCATGGAGGTCCCACCCGATGAAACGGTCTACTCCGATGTCTCACAACTTCCTCTGAAGCCTGCTGTCTTCAAGTGCATTGGCAGCGAGTCCAATCCTTCGCACTGGAACATAGGACAAAACACCGGCTACATGTCTCAGCAACTGCTGCAGCAACAACAACAGCAACAACAACCATGTTGTACGGAGAAAGGTGGATGTACACAAATGCTGCAAGAGTTGTTGAACTACAACAGAGCCTGCAGGGAGATGAAGTCGAAAGAGCTCGAGGAGATGCAAATGGACTGCCAGCGACAGAATGCCTTGCACTGTGGAGTCCCTGTTATGAACGCCAACATGTACAACACACTGCAGTTTAGCACGCACCCGCACAACCCTGCCAACAACAAAAAATTCTTTGACAACATCACCGAGAAAATTGATAAACAAAAAACGTCTTTGGAACAGCAGAAAAAATTGAACGACTACGTGAAATGTAAGGAGCAGCAGTTGCTCAAGCAGAAAGTCTCCAACAACTCCCAGCAGAGGCGTCAGAGTGCCGACAACAAGTCAAGCCAATCGTCCTGTGGGCAAAGACAATCGCAGACGCAGCGGATAAGTTTGGAAACTTCTCAGCGGATGGCGTCGCTGAGAAAGTCGAGCGGAGCACAAAACAAGTCGAACAACGTTGGCAACACCACACAAAACCGCCCATTACTTCAGAATAATTCCAACGCTGATTCAATCAGCCTGCTGCAAAAGTTTCCATCCAAGCAGTGCTCCCGAAAAATATCAATTTCATCATCTGCCCAGTTCTCACAGCACAACAACAACACCAAATGCCAATTATCTCCGAACGCCGCTGCTCAGCTCTCAAAACACAAACAAGCCTACTACGACAGCCTCAAAAATCAGCGAAAAAGCGAAACATCTCAGGTGAAATGTTTCGCTTTGAGGGCGCCAGAGAAAAAGGGTGAAGATAAGTACCGGGACATCAAAGACAGGGTGGACCACATTCGCATGCTCATTAGGCAGCGCAAGAATGAGGAGCAGAACGGCAGATGCATAGATAGACCAACGCCAGTCATGAACTGCTCTACTAACAACGCCAATCTTGGACGTCTGAAGATAGAGGATGACGATGACTACCCGTACAACAGTAACTTCTGCTGCAGCAACGGTCACCACAGAAACAACAACGATGATAATTGCAGCAGCAACAACAACAACAACAACTTGTCCCAGGAGATTGCTGATCGCAACAGCGCGTTTGATTACAATAAGTACAGTTTCTACTACCACCACCAACGTTATCATTCAAAGAGTTGCAACAAAAGCGAGAACATCAGTACAAGCAACGACGACAACAACAACAACAGCGACGACAACGAAGATGAAATGAACGAGAACAATGACAACAACCAAAAGTTCAGGAGCGACACCGACAAGGCCTTTGCGACAACAATCACAACCTTCAACAAAAGCATCGCTGCTCTCAACAGCCACTCGCCACAACCTTACCCCTACCAGCAGCATCAACAGCGACCACAACTACCACGGAAACAAATATCGGCAACATCCGTCCTGAAACACAACTACAACAACAACAGCAAGTGCAACAACTGCCGCTGTTGTAGACTCAACAGCGGCAACCGTTCGGACAAAAATTTCTGCTACAGCAACAACAAAGATGAAGAAGATGCTTGTTGCTGCAACAAGAACAGTGAGACATCTCCAGACAAAAAAACTGCTGGAGGGAACGTGGTATACGTTCAGATGATGGCCTATGATAGTGAAATAGTGATGGCCTTTTTGAAATATGCCTATACTGGGGATTCAAATTCCATTAATACGGAGAACATCGCTTGCTTGCTGTCTATTTCGCTGGAGATACAGGTGTTTAATTTGCGTATGCATGAATGTGTGAGTGTGCGTGTATGTGTGAGAGTATGTTTGTTTGTGTGTGTGTGTGTGTGTTTCTGTGTGCACGTATGTGTATACAATATACATGCATGTACCGTTGTCATCATCGTATAGTTGTATTATATTGTAATGCATTGTAATGTATTGTATTGCATTGCATGTTATCGTATCGTATCGTATCGGATCGTATCGAAGGTACCTCTGTTGCACAAGGCTTGCATTCGACACATCGTAACAACTCTGAAACCGGACAATGCCTGCAGCTTTTTAACGCTGGTCAATAATTACGAGATGAAGAATGTAAGGAAGGTCATTCTCTGCTTCATGCTGGAAAATATTATCGTTAGGACTCTTGGTCTTATCTACATTCATTCAATGTTTTGTTCGTTCATTCGTTTGTTTGTTCGTTTGTTCGTTCATTCGTTCGTTCTTTTACTTGTGTTTGTGAATGACAGCTTGTTTGATTTCAATAATTTTTTTGGCACAGGTGTATTGCCTACCGATGTTGTTGATATTCATTAGAAGAGATGATTGATTTCTATGTGCATTTAAAAAAAATTTTGGTTTGTTTTTTTTTATTTACTCATTTATTTATTTTTTGATCCATTCTTCCATCCAGGAAGTGATGCAGTCATGTGACTTCCTGAAACTTCCGTACATGTGGGTTAAGATCATACTGGGCAGCCAGGAATGCAGGGACATGTCCACTAGCGATCCCGCTGCAGCCAATCCCACTCAAGTTCCTTTCCTCTTTCATCTTTTACACACCACACACACACACACACACAGCATTTAGCTATTTTGTTTGATATCTGTTCGAATATATTTTTGAAATATTTTAATATTGAACTTCAATCCAATTCAAATTTAGTAAAATACATCACCAAGTAGACCCGAAGTTTTCACTTGTTGGGCCTCCCTACCCAAACTTATTGACATATAACACACACACACACAAACAAGCATACACACACACACACCCACAAACACACACACACACACACACATGCATTCCAGATCGAGTTAATAATATTTCACGCTCTGGTTCGCTGGATAGATTGCGATAGGCAGGAGCGGTCGAAATATGCCGCCTGCTTGATGGGCGAGGTGGTCCATCTCGAAGTCCTGTCAGTCCAACAACTCATCGAAGTTGTCGAATCTGTCTCCTGGCTCTTCCAGATTCCAGGCGTTCGCGACATGCTGACGTCCATTTATAAGTGAGTCGTCGACTTTTTGTGGCGTGAGATTAGGTAGATTGAGTTTGTGAATTGTTTTTGAATGTATGAAATTGGGTTTTCAATGTTTAATATGAATTTTATATTTTCGTTGATTTGAAAAAAAAATGAAAATTTGATGAAAAGGTATTTATTTATTATGTGTTAATTTAATATTTTATTTTGATAAAAATATCGAATTTGTTAGCATCTTTTAATTGTTACCAGTTAATAAGCACGAACAAACACACGCACAACACAACTTCTACCAGAGCAAAACTGGTGATTCACAAGCAGAAGCAAGGATTCAGCATCCTGTCCGCCAAGCACAACGTCTGTAAAACAAAGCAGCAAACCCAGCAGATGATCTACCAACAACAACTCGCTCAACTGCAGGGCATCAACTGCACAAAACTGCAACAGCCACAGCCGCAGGAACCGTCAAGTTTCTCCAGTCAAATACAACCTCAACAACCTCAGCAGACGTCGGTTTATTCCCAGAAACTATCAGTGTTTTCTCAACCGGCCGCTCAACCAGTTGCTGCAACACAGCAACCGTCGCAATATACGCAGCAGACTCAACAGGCGTCTGAGTACAGTCATGGACAGCCTAGCCAAGTCTTGCAGCCAGCATCTTACTTCTCGCAGCAGCAAGCATCGCAAGACAGTGAATTAACTTATCAAAATAATCAACCATCTCAACACACGCAACAAAATTCTCATTACTCGCGTCAATCAATGCAACAAGTCTCTCAACATACGCAGCAATCAGGAGGCTTAGCGAAAATTTCACAACATCAGTCTCAGCAGCAGCCGATTCTACAGACTCGGCCATCGTCGCAAAATGCCTTGCAGCAGTCCCAACATACTATCCAACAATCGCAATTCTCAAACTTGCCGTCGAGATACTCATCTCAACACACTCAACAGCCAACTCAACACACTCAATCCTCTTCTCAACATACCCAAGCCGCCTCTCAACACACCCAAGCCGCCTCTCAACACACCCAAGCCGCCTCTCAACACACCCAAGCCGCCTCTCAACACACCCAAGCCGCCTCTCAACACACACAGCAACCATCGCAGTACTCCCACCAGCCATCTCAAGTTTCTCAGCAGCAGCAAGCATCTCAACCCTCACTCCCTTCCTGTCAGCTACGGTCATGTTACGCACAAAAATCGTGCCAACCACAACAACAACAACAGTACGAGCAGCCCCAGCAATACTGCCAACAATGTCCTCAAACTTGCCAACGCTGTCCTCAAACTTGCCAGCCATATTTTAAAACTTCCCAAAATCAGCAGCCACCAGCTCGCACTAGCAAGCAGCTGCAACAGCAGCAGCAGCAACAAGACTCTGGTAGCAGGAGACTATCTTCCAAATCGAAACAACAATCCTCTTGCCAACAGCAACAACAAGTCAACGAGGCATACGAACCTAATCCCTTACCGACATGTCCCCTCTACCAACAACAACAGCAGCAGCAGCGGTCTCAATACAGAACCAGTCAGCAGATGGATCCGTACAAGCCTGGAGGAAATGTTATGCGCAACGATTACGTCAATCCCATGGCTACATACCCGATGATCTACAACAATATGCCACCACCGATGATGCCCAACACCATACCGCCCAACAACTTCTGCTGAGACAAACTGCCATTCCATGCCTACATTGCAGTCTGATGGATGATGGGACGTGTCGATTTCGCAAATTTGAGACGCTATGACGTCACCGTTGTTATTATTATTATTATTATTATTTTTTGTGATTGTTGAACATAGGTTTCACTTTAAAATTATTAACATCACCGCCACTTATAAACTCACCGCTGGGCTTTGAAACAATGGAACTAGAATAGTAGTAGTAGTAGTTATAGTAATAGTAACAATGGAATATTAGTAACATAGAGAATGTTTTAAGATTTAAGCACCAATGCAGGGAGGTTAAAAAGTTTGCCCCCAGACGAATGTCTCTTAAGAAATTGTATTTAGAATGAAAAGTTAGATGGCGGGCTACTGACATAAAATCTATCTCTCCATGTATAGCACCATTATTGTCATTATTATTAAGTCGGTAATAAAACCTAGCAATTGTATTTAGTTTTAGTAGTAGCAGGTTAGCTTGTTCCATGAGAAAATGGACCAACAAAGACTGACTGACGCAATTCGTATGATTAAATTTGTAAAAATTTTAAATAATGAAAAATTAAATAAATTTTTTCTAATTCAACGTTGAATACATTTTAAATGAACAAAAAGATACGTGTGATACTGTTGAGACATGCTTTTAGGAGACCATAGGACATAAAAATATTAATTCAGATCTCTAGATGGCAGCCTATTTTTACGAATTCTATTGCATTTTATGTCCTGAGATTCTATTACATTTTATGTCCTTTAATTTACGTAACTTAAACATTGGTTTATAACAAAAAATTATTAATTTCAAAGGATTTTTATTTTTCCATTATACGCGTTCATTCAATTACTACATTGTTTTTCATACTACATTGCAATGAAAAAAAATATTTTATTTTTGGTTCGTTTAATAAAAAGGTTTATTTTCAAGTAACCTTAGTTATTTGTTATGAATAAACTGGATTAAATTATTAAATTTTAAAAAAATGCCCGAAAAATATGAAGAAAAGAAAGAAAAAAATGTAATAAAAAGCGTCAATCAATATTTTATAGACCAAATCGTAAGTAGATTGGTTAGGAGAATGCAACCAGCCAATAGGAGAGCTCTAGGTGTAGCACATGACCGCCAATAATTTTTCACATTTTGTAATAAAATAACCATTTAATTTATAAATAAACTTAACAACCTTAGCTACGTATTCCAGTATAAAATGCACCATTTTGCAAAATTTTCAGACTATCTTCCAGTATATTTTTTGTTCATTCTATTTAAATACAATTTAAAATTGGAGAAAATTAATTCACTACCGCTTAAATCTAGTTATGGTAATAATAGTTCTGCTGAAAAATATTATTATATATTTATTTTAGCATAATTCTGATGGCTAAAGTGAAGAAATCCACTATATAGATAACAACGAATACATTCACATATATGATTTTACTTTTATATAATATAATTATAATACAATATGTATGTTTAAATATGTGCCTATATAATTCTATATCTATTTATATGTATATAACACAGAAATATAAACACACCTAAATATAAATAAATAAATATATATATATACACATTTGTATGGTATACAAATAATATGGAGATACGCGATATTCATTTAAGTTATTTTTTGCCCACAAGTAAAGCAGCAAAAGGTTTTTCGTTATTTAAATTTTTAAATAATAATAAATATACAAAAAATAATCAATGAACAGTTTCTTTTCTTCTACATTAATATTTTTATTATTTTAAATAATAATAATTTTTATACATATTATAGACCAATGCATTAAGATTTAGGCCATTATATAAAGAGGCCCGTTAAATGCTTCTTGCAGTCTAGATGTCGTTCTGATCTTTGTTTTGTTCAAAACCATCATCATCATCATCATCATTACTATTGTTATTATTATTATTATGTATGTATATATAAATATATTTATTCATATTATTTTTTAGAGACAAATTTCCTTTATGCACAAGACGTTTAAACAATAATATAAATAATAACAAAATCCATAGGCATAATTTAATTATATAATTAAATAATCAGGAAGTTTATTAATAATTATAACTATAATAATATATTGTATAATTATAGCAACAATTATAGCAATAACAATATTAGTATTATATATTTTTATTCTACAAGCATTAACAACGTTAAAAACCATACGAAAATTTGTGATTATTATTATTTATTATTATTCGTGATTATTTTTATTATTAATTTTAAATTGATTAGAATGCATAGATATCTTTCTTTCTTTTATTTTTTCATTCGATCATTCATTTATGCATGCATTCACTAGTTCATTCATTGGTTCATTCATTGGTTCATTCATTGGTTCATTCATTGGTTCATTCATTGGTTCATTCATTCGTTCATTCATTCGTTCATTCATTCGTTCTTTCGTTTTTTTCCATTTTTTCATTCTTCTTTCACTCTTTCATCTGCACATTTATCTGGATCGATATTTTGCTTTCCTCCTATGACATTCATTTTCATTTGTCTCCTTCAGTCTATCAGCCCATCCATACATATTTCTCTCTCTCTCTCTCTCTTTCTCCCTCTCTCTCTATATATATACATACAGAATTCATACATGAATGAATAAACGAATGAATGTCTCAAATAATGCACCTAATTTCATTTTCATGAAATAATATTGTTTAAAAATTAATTAATCAATTATTTAACTAACCCATTAAATCCTTGTCTTCAATTTTTAATTAATTCATTTATTCATCCATTCATTCACTCATTCACTCACTTATTCATTCACTCACTCATTCATTCATTCGTTCATTCGTTCATTCCCTTCACATCGACATCATTATCTTTTCTTCGTTGCTTTGTGATTGGCAGAATTTAAATTACATTTTTGCTTATCGCTTCTGTTGTTTGTTTGTATGTATGTATGTTTGTTTGTGTGTTTGTATGTTTGTTTGTTTATTATATTTTATATTGTTGTTTTTTATTTGTTGACCATGATTTTTTATTAAATTATTTTCGAATGTGTTATTGTTTCTACGTTGTTCGGTATTCTTAAAAATTCATTCTCAACACTTGAAACAAATAATGATAATAATAATAATAAATTATTATTTATTATTATTATTATTGGTGTTGTTGTTTTGACAGCTGATGTTGTTAATGACTTATGAACCATATAGCAACTGCTTTTAATCTAGATAGAATGACGTTTTGTTGTTATTATTAAAATTATTATTATTATTATATTATTATTATTTTTTTATTTTTATTGTTTTATTTTTTCAAAAAAAAACACGGATTATTATTTCAAAAATGTTCATTTATTGGCAAAAACTGTTTTAAGTTGAAACAATTTGCTAGTTAATTTTGATGAATTGAAAGAAAGATTGAATGAAGGAATGGGTTAATTTCCGAATAAATGAAGGAATAAATAAATGAATGCATTATTAAATAAATGATAGGATGAATGAATGAATGGATGAGCTAATAAATAAACGAACACAGAAATCAACTTGACTATTATTATATAAATTAAAATCACACTTATGTAAAAAATACCAATTCATTCATTATAAAATCGATCCATGCATCCATCCATGCATCCATCCATCTACGCATTTATTCAAGCATGCATCCATTCATCCACGCATCCCTGCATGCATCAATTTAGAAAGTTGGATATCTTCTGGGACGAAGATTAGCTCACTAATACTGGCGTATTTAGGCTCAGGCAAAAACATTGTGATTAGAGAATCAGTCATTTCAAACGTGTAAATCATACACACACGCACGCACACGCACAAACGCACGCACACACGCACGCAAACACACATGGAATGTCCTGTTTGATACTGTTATACTGTTTAAGCTATAACATACCTACGTTATTAGTTCAGTTGTAGTAGTAAGGATGGTGAGAATAATATAATTAAAAATTGTAATAACAATAATAATTATTATAAATAATAATAATAACAATAATAATATTTTAAATTATAGTCACTACCCTTACGAATAATGTTATTAATAATAATATGAATCTAGGCTTATTATTATTATTACAACCATTATTATTACTTTTATTATTATTTATATTTGTGTTATAATGTTTTTACTGTCATCATCATCATCATCATAATTATTATTTTTATAAGGAAAAAATCTTATTGAAAAATGTTAGAAAAATTATTATATATATATTATATATTATTATATATATATATTATATATTATTATTTATATATATATATATATATATATATACATAATACCATCACAATAACAAGAACAAATTAAAATTAATAACAATAACAAAACAACATCAATAACAATAGTTGTAGTAGTAACAACAACAACAATAATAATAAAATAATAATAATAATAAAAATTATATTTACAAGTATAATAATATTATTAATTAATATAATAATAACAATTATTATATTATTATTATTATTGTTGTTGCTGTTTTTTATTATTGTTACGCGATTTAACGGTGAAATCAAAAAAAGTTCAATCAATAAAATCTAAAAAAATACAGAAAATACCCTTCATCCCGATAAATACAATACAAAAATGGTATATATATGTTGGTATATATGTATATATATATACATATATATATTTATATATTGCCAATTACAATTATAATTGCCAATTATATATATATTTATTTTTATATATATATATGCATATAGTACATGTGAACAAGAACACATTACTAATATATAATAATAATAATAGTATTAAAAGACAATATATTATAGTGAGAAAATTAATAATAATAATAATAATTATTATTATTATTATTATTAAATATATATATATATATATAGACATATATAGTCATATATATATATATATATATATATATTACAGACAATTAAATACATATAGAGAAAACAAAATATCTCACATTTTACTGACTAACTATAATAAATTATATATATACATATATAAATATATATATAAATATGTATATACATATATATTGTTACCCTCTTATTAATCACAAACTATTCAAAATAAATATATGTATATACATTCATATATTTTGATTATATATACGTATATATAGATAAAAACTAAACAATACTCTAGCTCTAATTTTGTATTGTTTGTGGATGTATTCATGAGTAAATTGTTTGTTAGTTTGTTTGTGTCTGTCTATTGTGTATTTACGTGCGTGCGTGCGTGCGTGCGTGCGTGTGTGTGCGTGTGTGTGTGTGTGATAATTGTTTGTTTTTTGTGTCTTTGTAGTATATATAATTCTTTGTTCGTTTGTATGTATAGTTGTTTGTTTGTACCTCTGTATCTATAATTGTTTGCTTGTATGTTTGTCTGTATGTTTTGTATGCGTGTTTCCATTGTTTCATTGAATTTTCTTTTTAGATTAAATTCGTTTGTTTGAGAATTGGGCTCGTCATTGTTCTCTAGCTAGCCGTCGTCATCGTCATCATCATCATCATC